TAGTCAAACCTAATCCTCGTAAAAAGCCAAGCTGGATCCAATAGAGCTCCTCTTCTTATTTTCAGTAAAGCCATCAAAATATATCTGCATGCTTTCCATTTGGCTAAATCAATCTGCATCAGTTTTGATATCAGAAGTGAAAAATCATCGAAAGCCCATAGAAAACTCTCCATGTTGCTGCAACACCCCCTCCATAACTTAGGAGGGAAGATCTTGAAAAGGATAGGAGGTCTGGCTACAGTGTTCCGGTTCTATGGGAATGAATTGTAGTTTATGATACTGAATCCAGAAGTCTTTTATTTGAGTAGTTTTGTAAATTTTTTATTGTCTTGGAATCTTTTTAAAACCAAAGTTAAAAGGTTTTGTTTCTCTTAAGTTTAGCTCTATCACATTTTAAGAAGGAAAAAAGCTGGCTACGTTTTTTTTGAAGTTATTATTTGAATATGGAATGGAGGCATTATGTTAAGTCTCTTTATTTGAAGTATTCTAATTTTTGGTTTTTCTTCCAGTTTTTAATATTGGTATCAATATTTCTATATGCATTTTATCATGTTTGATGTTGCTTGGAAAATAAGTCATTATGAAATATTTGTTCATAGAAATTAACATTTGTAGGAGCCATTGATTTAATGGTTATCAGTTAGTATGACCTGATAAATTGATATATAGCTGTGATATTTTAAGCTATCTTGAATCCATTACATAGAAGGATGGGGATATCAATGAGGATATATCCATGTAGTTTGTTTGGGTGAGAAAATTTTGAGAAGTGTCTTGGGGGTATCATTTGGTTAGAGAATATTATTGAGACTTAAAAGATAAGTTTTATAGAATTATAATTAGCTCAGTAATTTTTCATGGGTCCGTGTATTGTTCACTTAAAAATTGTTAACTATTATTTTAAGAAGAGTGTCAAGAAGTATATGTTCAAATTTAAAAAGATTAGATGGTGGCGGTGGAAGGAGTAACATTTTTTGAGGATAAGATAACAAAAAATGACTTTTATGATTTGATTTAAAATTACCGTAAAAGATTGACCAATAAGACAAGTAGATAAAATAATGTTATGTAGTATGAGGAAAAAATCAAAAGTTAACATAGATAGAAATTGAATGAAAAGATTTCTGCTAAATAGATTTCACACATCATGCATAGCTTAGTAGAAATCCAAGGAGAATGAGAATTCATGAGTATAACTCAAATAAATGTGATAAGACATGTGTTTGGGGCAGCTCTTACTTTTTGAAGGAAGTAGCTTCAGAGCTGCTGTCAACAAATTACTGCTGAAACAACAATTAGATTGTTTGGAAAATTTATTGTGCTCCAGTTTTTTTCTAATAAAAAGATAGTTATGCTCTTATGGATGCAAATGATTTGAATATCTGTAGTTTTCAAAATAATTATAGCATCAGGAGCCAATCTCTTCAATACATCAATATTAAGTCGTCAATTTGTGCATAATATCATAATAATGAAACCTAAAAATTACCTGTAATGCTATAATGACACTCGTCTTCATATCTAGACGATCAAGTCTTCTAAATAATTTTTTGTTCATAACATCTTTCTTGACGTGGTCACTATCTGGATCGAGCTCCTCTATATCATTGGTCCATCGAAAATACTTGTAATCTTCACGTCTTATATTTTTGGGACAACGATAAAATCTCTTACATAACTACCTTCTTTTCTTGATTTGTATTCAGAATACTACGTACTACAATGGCAGTATAGAACTCTTGAAGTATTTAATCATCGTAAACTCATTTTTTATGAGATTACAATATATTATGTCTTTAATTGACAAATTAAATTACATATGTAATAGAACAATAAAAAAATATTAGGGTTCATAATAAAAAAAATAAGTCTAAGGCAAAATATGCATATATAAAGTTTTAATCTTGAAAATTAAAATATCAAAATATGAAATAGAGAATAGATATTAATACATCTTTAATTCATTTGAAATAGTAAATGTTAACTTGAAGATAGTACAAAACATTAATTAAATGTACTCGATGAGTTTACTAAAACATGTGCTCTCTTTTTTTAATAAGACCATCTTCTGAACATCTTCTCCATCTGCTGTTGAATTCATTTGCACCAAAGGTTTCCTCGAGCAATGATTGTCTTGCCCGTTGTTCGAATGTTTCTACAGGTATGCATATTAGATCTTCATTTAAGATCCCGAAATCATCATCCTCCTGAGATGGATGCCTCCATATAAAATTATGTAGAGTTGTCGTTGCAACAACTATCTTTACCTATTTTTTGAATGAATATGTCGGTATATCTCAGAGTATGACTCACTTTTTTTTTACATACGCCGAAACTCTCTCAGTAATCCTCTGTAATAATGAGTGTTTTTTTTGTAGAAGATTTATGTTCTCCCTCTAATCACTTAGCTGATGTGCTCAAAATTAAGGTGATTCATCGCATCAAGGAAGGGCTTTAAGAAATCTCATTGCATTAAATATCCCGAATCGACGATGTAATATTTCACTGAATAATATCGTTATTAGTACATATCTTCAAATTGAACACTTCGTATACGATCGTGAATATATTAACCATGTGGAAGCATTAAAAGTATATATTCACATCACGGAGTAATAAACTTGAATACACGACTATTAGAACACTCCTTTCTCATCCAAAATTACTCTGTAATTCATCCAGTAAATCACAAAAAAAAAGTTCCGACATCTAAAACATTGAATTCCATCTGGATGGACTTGGTGCAGCTCACCAATCCACTTGTCACAAATAGATGACGATAACACACGGTATCTTGCACAAATTTCTTTGATAAAATATTTACTTTGCATCTTGAATTTTAGTTCCCATGATTTGTCTTCTCATGTTGACTTTGTGATGATTTAATTTTTTATTTTCAACAATTTGATATGAGAATGTCCATCAAGAGATCCCTAGAGCACGGAAGATGCACATAACTACGATTATAGGTTTAATTATGATGATTAATCAAATTTTATTATATTTATTACCTTTTCTTCATCGCACCCTGGGAACGCAAGAGGGAGAGGGAGAGGGAGAGAGAGAGAGAGAGAATTAAAAAAAAATTTCTCAGCATCTTGGTTTTCAGTCCCCATGACTTGTCTTCTCATGTTGGCTCTATGATGATTTGATATTTATTTTCAACAATTTGACAAGAAAATGTCCATCAAGTGATCCCTAGATTATTGAAGATGCACATAACTAGCATTATACGATTAATTATGATGATTAATAAACTTCTATTATATTAATTGTTTTTTTTTCATCGCATCCTGCTTGCCATAAAACAAATTCACCATTAAACATAATCGATGCTTTTATCTTATAACACACAAATTATTGAGAAGAGAGCTTCCCCATAAAAATTTCAAAATCTTCTGTCATTGTTTAGGATCACGTTTCTTTATCCAAATTACTGCCATTTTTATTGTCTTAATAGTTTTAATGAGTATTGTTCTCATAGGGGGCAACATTTACTAAATTTTATGTATATTTTTTAATTATGCTTCAAGCATTTAGAATTGTTATCATATTCACTAATTATGATGTTTATTTGTAATGAATTTAACTGAGTCTTTTATCAATGTGTTATTTAAATATCATGATTTTATTATCGAATTACCATGTGAACTGTGATTAGGGCTAGTTTAACCGAAGATTTTGAAATTTAAATATTTTCATATTTGCACTTATGAAACAATCAGCATACTTAGATGAAGACGACTTTAATCACTTCTATTTCTTTTGAGGAGTTCCTATTCCTTCCCATGATTTCCACACCTTGCAATTGCACACTTGAAAAGAAACTACATCAAAGTTGATACTATGTGGAGTTGTCTTTGGGGTTCATGAATAGTTCTGTTTTATTTATCTTGTTAGGAATCTGAATTGGTGACCACATAGAGAATGTTGAACAACTTAGGGGCCGTTTTGGATCATATTTTTTCTTCTTTTTTTTATTTCCTATCTTGTTTTAAAATAAAATATGTTTGATATGTTAAAATAAAATTGTGATTATTTTAGAAACATTCAAAACTTCTAAATTTTTCAAAAATGTTTTAAATACAAATTGATTTGCTTTTAAAATAAAAAAATAAAAACATATAAAAATTTATTGAACAAACATTTTTTAGTAATAAAAGAAAAAAAAAAGATAAAAAACAACAATGAAAACAAAAATGATATCTAACAGGATTTGATGATGCACTCAAATTTTAAAAATATGTTTTTTCAATATCCTTTTAAAGTTGGTCCATACAAACTCATAGTTGTCCAAATCATCAAATTCATTAGATTTTCTTTCGTTCATTATCTAATAACCAAAGTTTATTTGGTTTTTTGGTCGGCAATATTCCAATTGAATTGTGAGCCTACCTAGACCGTTGTAATGATGCAATATCATTGGTCTATGCATGAAGGATCGTCTCACCAAGAGCATCAACAATGTGCATCATATGCATTTATGCTAACATACGTGCATACGCGCTTATGCGTACACACACATACTCACAAACATGATACGATCTACAATTGTGCTCTAAAGATGTCTGCATGTCCTTCATCTGATGCTGACAATAGTTGCTGGATGCCAATGAAAACTTCCATAAAACTAAATCTGTTATTTTATCTGAAAACTTTTTCTTCATCCAGCACTGTTAAAGTCTTAAAATGCACGCCCATGGTCCTAAAAAATTTTTTGGGGCTTGAGAAATTGAGGGCAAATGTCTATGGCGGGGCTTAGATGAAAACTTTTAGACTACGAGAGTAGAGGGGAAATTAGATATGCTCTAGATTTATAAGATAAAATATAAACACTTCTAGAGCTCATGCTAGATTTCATTTTGATGCTAAGTTTGCTGCACAAGCCTCCACCATTTTGCTCATTTGGTATTCCTCTGAAAAAAACAGTTCCTTTTACAGTTAATTTATCATTTTAAAATATGATTTTTTTAATTTACAATTATTTTCTTTCCATTCAGCCGACTCCTTCGGCGAAGGGCAAACCCTCAAAACTGCATAAAAGGAAGCATCAGATTGGTTCATTGTACTATGACTTAAAGCAGAAAGAGATGGAACTGGCAGAGCGGCGTTCCAAGGGTCTTTTAACGAAGGCAGAGACGCAGGCCAAATACGGCTGGTGAATGGGGTTTATACTTGAATTTATGGTATGTTCTGTTTCATCATCTTGGATAAATGTATCGATAGAAAGAATTTAGGCAGGATATCAGATCAAAATTTTATCAAAATGAATTTATTAATAATTAGATTTTTTTTTAAATAAGTATAATATGCGAGTTAGTTGATTGGTAATATTTTTAATGTTTGTATTTGTAAATTTAATGATTAGAAAATTCATCATTTAAAATTTGAATTAGGATGTCCAAATCTAAATTAGATCTTCTTAGGGTTTTGGCGTTTTGGAAATTTAACCCGTTTGATGTGAAAATAGTTATTAAGGCTAATCGGGCCGACCATACGCCTGGTTCATGGTCGAATCGGTTCAACCGGTTGGTCTGGTCCGATTTTTAGAACTTTGGTTGTCACCAAAATTTGATGTTGAGTTCGATCCATTTTACTTATTGGGAGCGGCAATGGTGGCCGTCATTCTCTTAAGAGTTGAGTTGTTTAATTATTTTAATGGCACTATATGACCAACATCATTTATATAGGCTTCATCAATCAAGTTTTGCAACTATTTTAAAATGGACTACAACAAAATTGCCAAATAATTGGACCAACCCATCATAAAGTTGATTTTGTCTTCACTATGGATTAGATGAAGTGAACATTTATCCGAGTCTCATATAATACCATTCATGGTATTACTACCTCAACATTATTTGTGAGATTGTAAGACTTGTTCATTCACCTTCAAATTGGCCTTAATATGTTTCTATATGTACTTGATATCATAGTTTAAATGCATCTAGAGTGGTCTCGGTGGTTTTCCTCTCTATATAGGATTGTAAGGCTATGTAATGGGCAAGATTGTATGATGTGTTTGAAGTTTCGTTACTGAGTCTACATTTGACTTAGAGAGATGTACCTAAATGAGATGTTAAGTTCCTACCTTAGATTTTGGTTGGTGGCTAGCATTATCCCAATAATGTATTAGTTCTCATCATTTGACAATCGTTACCATATCTACATCATATTTGATGTTGTTCTTTTCAATCCTTTGTGTGCTTGTGTGCTATGCTTGTTTTTATTGTATATATGCTTAGCCAAGTGGGTCATTCTATCATTTCATTTGAAAATTATCTTAGGAAATTTGTTGTGCCAAATCATAGTGGAAAATAAACAAACTTATTTGAAGGCAGCGACGCAGGCCAAATATGGCTGGTGAATGGGGTTTATTCTTGAATTTATGGTATGTTCTGTTTCATCTTCTTGGATAAATGTTTTGATAGAAAGAATTTAGGCAGGATATCAGATCAAAATTTTATCAGAATGAATTTATTAATAATTAGATTTTCTTTGAAATAATTATAATATACGAGTTAGTTGATTGGTAATATTTTTAATCTTTGTATCTGTAAATTTAATGATTAGAAAATTCATCATTTAAAATTTGAATTAGGATGTCCAAATCTAAATTAGATCTTCTTAGGGTTTTGGCGTTTTGGAAATTTAACCCGTTTGATGTGAAAATAGTTATGAAGGCTAATCGGGCTGACCATACGCCTGGTTCATGGTCGAACCGGTTCAACTGGTTGGTCTGGTCCGATTTTTAGAACTTTGGTTGTCACCAAAATTTGATGTTGAGTTCGATCCATTTTACTTATTGGGAGCGGCAATGGTGGCCGTCATTCTCTTAAGAGTTGAGTTGTTTAATTATTTTAATGGCACTATATGACCAACATCATCTATATAGGCTTCATCAATCAAGTCTTGCAACTATTTTAAAATGGACTACAAGAAAATTTCCAAATAATTGGACCATCCCATCATAAAGTTGATTTTGTCTTCACTATGGATTAGATGAAGTGAACATTTATCCGAGTCTCATATAATACCATTCATGGTATTACTACCTCAACATTATTTGTGAGATTGTAAGACTTGTTCATTCACCTTCAAATTGGCCTTAATATGTTTCTATATGTACTTGATATCATAGTTTAAATGCATCTAGAGTGGTCTCGGTGGTTTTCCTCTCTAAATAGGATTGTAAGGCTATGTAATGGGCAAGATTGTATGATGTGTTTGAAGTTTCGTTACTGAGTCTACATTTGACTTAGAGAGATGTACCTAAATGAGATGTTAAGTTCCTACCTTAGATTTTGGTTGGTGGCTAGCATTATCCCAATAATGTATTAGTTCTCATCATTTGACAATCGTTACCATATCTACATCATATTTGATGTTGTTCTTTTCAATCCTTTGTGTGCTTGTGTGCTATGCTTGTTTTTATTGTATATATGCTTAGCCAAGTGGGTCATTCTATCATTTCATTTGAAAATTATCTTAGGAAATTTGTTGTGCCAAATCATAGTGGAAAATAAACAAACTTATTTAATTGATAGTTTTCGTGAACTCCTTGCCCAAGGAAAGAGAATTCAATTTACATTGAAGGATTGCCCATGGAGGAGTGTCTTCATTATCAAATATTCTAATATTAATTTATGTAAGTTCCATCATATATAAGACACAACCATCATACTTTAGAAATATTATTGACAATAATAAATAAATGACAAACATATTATAAGTTATAAATGAAATAGCGACAATGAGAATGATGAAATTGCCGAAGAGTTGAATGCTTTTCTATATCATAATTTTAATATTTTGTGTGTGTGTGTGTGTGTGTGTGTGTTACATTGTTAAGTTCCTAAACAAAGAGTCGAAAAGGCTAAAATGTAATGTTAGATTATCACTTCTGAATTTTTATACCAAATATGGCTATTGCATGCAAGTTGGTTTATATTTTTCTCTTGATGGCTTCTCAGCTTTGAATCCAAATCTATTCGAGAGATAAGTAATATAGCACGTTAGAAAGGAAGCGAGAGTTGGTAGCTGAGTAATGAACAGTAAAATTACGTAACCTTTATTCATGAAATGAACACCCTATTTATAGGAATTAGGAGGGACTCTTCTTTCACACATTTCCTTGGACTAATCTCTCATCTTCCTTTGTTGCATCAATCATGGAGGTGGGCAGCTCCCCAAGTTGATTAAATTTAGTGAGGAAGCTCTAGCGATGATCTTTTAGGTAATGAAAAGGAGGGCTAAAACCACTTTTAAAAGGCAAAAATTTCTGAACTGGTGGATGAAGTGGAATCGTCAGATTCATTCAATGGTCGCTCTGCAAAGTGATCTTCGACAAGAAAGGGTGGTTTTCTTGTGAAGAAGCATCACATGATGGGAAAAATCTGCCTGGACGATAAGCAAACAGAACAATCACCCTTTTTTTTTGGTTTTAGGTGGATCGCGACGGATACGACGTTTTCTCGTTCAGCTCTAGACTTTGGATGACAATGGTCGAGAGCAAGGGTAAAGACTAGCGATCAAAGTTTGTAGTTGCTTCGAATCAGTGAGGTTGAGGGATTTCTATTCAGCCTATTACTGAAGAAGTAAAGAAGTTGAGGTCCTTGCCAGAGTCTATCAGGAACTATGTCTAGATGATCGACGAACATGAGTTGTGAGTGTTCCTGTTTCTTGATCATGCAGTTTTTAATATGGTATTATGGCCCGAAAGTTTCGACGACATGAATGAGAACTTATAGGAGAAATTCGATGCGAAGGAGAGAGTGTGGAGGTGGCAACGACGAAGGACTTCAAAAAGAAGCCCAAGGTTAGGGCTGCCAAAACGGCTCGTTGTTCGCGAACAACTCATGTTCAACTTGTTAAGAAGCTTGTGTTCGGCTCGTTCGCTAAGTTACGAGAAGAACACGAACAAAGATTTGTTCGTTTGTGTTCAGCTTATTTTGGCTCAAAATACTACTCATCAATTATATATATATATAATAGTATTTTTAAAAAAATTAATTGACTACAAGACTATGAATATTTATAATGAATTTAAAGTTAATTAAGAAAATAAAATAAAAATTATTAAATTAGATTCAAATGATGTTTTAATATAAACAATAATTTTTTAAGTCTAGCTCCAACCCTTAACATCTTATGGCTACGTGAAACGAAACTTTGTTCGTGGACAGCGCGTGTTTGGCTCACTAAGCAAACGAGCCGAACACGAACACACTTTTTGAGCTCGAAATATCAACGAGCCGAAAACGAGCTGAGCCTGGGTTTGCTTGTGTTCGGCTCATTTACACCCCTACCCAAGGCTAAAGTTCCTCAAGAGAAGGGGAACTTGTTTCGCGATCGAGGTTTCTAGGAGCTTCCGACGCTAGCAAGAAACATTTTTGTCACCTTCTCCTCTCTTTTTGACTCTTTCTAACTATCGGCTCATTGAAGTAGGTGCGGGGACTTCTAAATGTGGGAGACTTTGCTTGGATCACTCGGCTCTCAAGAATTAAGTTCAGGGGAAGAGAATCTTCCAGGCGGACCATCCGAAGAGAGGGGGAGTTGGGGTCCCATACCTCGACCATCGGGAGAGAGCTGTTGTGCAACAGCCATCTCCTTTGTTGATTGCGTCGGATTCAGGGGACATTGAAGGCCCCAATGTCAAAGTTCATGTGCGGGTTGATCCCGACCTGAAAGGGAAAAAAGTCGGTGGGGGCAGATCCTATGTCGCACCCCCCTCCCTTCCCCCTTTGTCGCAGCAAGGGGGTTCCCCTCCCGAGATGGATTACCCTGCTAGCGGAGGAGAGCAATGTACATGGGAGTTCAGGTGGGTGGTACATCATGGTGGATACTTAGAGGGACTGGCATACCAACCTTCTTCCAAGGGAGTCACCTGAACTTCCCAGCTACTTGGCGAAGGTGATTCGATTTGATTGCCTAGACTTCGTGCTAACGGGAATGGGCTATGCCTATTTGTGTGAGACCTTTGACCGATGTAGTGTTTTGGCTTGATCGGTACTAGTCGAAGGCACTTATTCGTGAAGAGCGGAAGAGGAAAGCAGTTGGCTAAGTACTCACTAAGGCGGCGAAGAAAAAGAAAAAAACTGAGCTGGAGCTTTTGTGCATGCGGAAGAGATTGATTCTAACTCGCCATGGGAAGCAAAAACATGCGACTATGAGCAAACCATTGCGGCTCTGATGACCAAGAATAAGGAACTGGAGGAAAAGATGACTGGAATGATTAAGATCATGT